CCAAATTCTTATTTGCAGATGAATCACATGAAGTTATTCAGTGCACAAAGAAAATGCCCATATTAGAGAAAAGATATGAGGGAAAATATACGCCATACAAAAAACTGCGGTACGACGAATTGGCTTCAAACTAAATAGGGGCCAAGCATATGCTCACATCATAAAATGCACTAATAAATTTTCTGATCGGTTTCCTTTTGCAGTCACCAATTTGCTAACTTCCACTTTGCTCAAAATAGCTTCCTCGCACTTTCAATTCCCACCTAACTTGATTAGTAACGACTCCTGCATCGTGCAATGCTCGGCAACCCAACTGGGTAACAACGCCATGTGTAACCCATGCTAGATAGCTTGCCACCTTAAAATGCAAGGCTTTTGCGAATCTTGCTTCGGAATAATTTGGTCGTTAGGCGTTTCTTGATTACTATATCATTCATTTAAATAATTATTAAAATCGTTATCAGTCCGGTTCGATCCACTGCTAAATGAATGCACTCGAAGACTGTGTCATAATCTGGTTTCTGCCATTTCTATCCATCTAGATCGAAACGAGTAAATTTGTTCAGCTCATCCTGCCATTGATTTGGCGATCTTGCTACGAGTCGATTACTCTTATTTAATTTAACACCTCTTCGTCCAGCTCTGATGAGGGGATTGCAGCTGCTTAATTTCCACTTCCAAGAGGTAGAAAGTGAGGAGACACCCCAGACGGTTGCCAAGCAAACTGGATGAAGACCAGATACTTAGAATCGTCTTTCTAACGACAACAGGCAAAAAAAACCTAGTATCGAAGGAACAGAAATGCACAAGGTGCCATTTGACAAAACGCCCGTTTTTTTCATCTATTTTTACAGTTTCCTATTAGATTCAGGTTACAGTGTAGCAATTGCGACAATTTCGAAGAGATTCCGTGGTTCGGCAAGGACAGCATATATGGACTGGATTCCAAAAGATCGCACTGCCTGATGTTCACACTGCTTGAGTTATCGGGCCGTTAATTGGCCATCTGGATCTCGTCGCCTACAATGTGGATTTATGAACAGATACTCTCTAGCCAGTCATCCCTCTGGCATCCCCATAAGGTGCAAAATTTATCGCGATTTCATGTCTCGAACTATATACAAACAATACAGAGCAACGTAATCATTTTACCTGTAGCAAATCTGATCCGTCTGCAGAAATCTTGGCCAACTTTCTCTTGACGAAATCTACATTCTTGATGTGTACCTGTGGCAAACTCGAAAACTTTTCCATCAAATAACGTTACTGCAATGTTTCGACGTTCATTATGACTATTCTGAAAATCAATACCCTCATTACCGTCCATATTAGAGCATAAAAAAATCAAACATTAACCACTACGCATCATAACCATTATTCTGATTTCCAAAATCAACTTTATGGCCACTGTCATCGTTAGTTTTATCAACTTTATCATCGTCATCATAGTCAGTGTCATCATCAGCTTCGTAACTGTTATTATCAACCTGTCAATAGTAATCAAAATCATCGTCAGCCACATCTCTGTCTTCCTAATATTCATCCATCCTCCACGTCTATGTCATAATCATCGCTAAGATGTGATTCCATTACGAAATCGATCCTCTTTCCTTTTTCTACAGATTTACATATCATTCATTAACTTAAAAATTATTATTCATAAATCCCTTGCAACTATCATCTATTTTTCCTATTTTACTGCTACGGTTCGTCTTCATGGTTTATGTACATTTTATCCATATTATTATGCCCATGGGTCATGTGACTGCTGAAATATTAGTGGGTATTAGTTTCAGAGAAATTGTTGTCAATTTAAATGGAAAATTTTCTAACTGAATGAAAGTTATCATCAGTATCGTCGTCGCAATTATCTCCATATTGATCAACACCATTAACATAATAACATCAATTAATGAAGCCAATAACAATAATAATAATAATCCTTGTCAGCAAGTTAATCCGCCTGGTAATCACAATGATAACAAGTCAAAATCTCCATCACCAACATTATGTTCGTCATCGTCATTACCATCAGAGCCATTATCACCATCATCAGCATAATCTTATTTTCAAATTTTCTTTATTCTCAGTCGCAAGAAGCAAAATTGGGACTGCTGTTTTACTGAACTGTGACTCTGATGATCGCATATCCATAATCAGTGAACTGCTCGAGCAGACTGCCATAGAGATGTCGCAATACTTGCCTTGACACCGTACACTGCGATTAAAAAACTGTAATTAACTGTTAGTTAAAAAACAATAAAAAATTGTAAATTGCTTGATATAAACCTTAAATATCGCATAAAAATGCAAAAATTTAAATCCGCGGATTTATTACATTACCGTTTAAACGAACAGTGCTGGATCAAATGGGACTTTCATTAATGGAATGGTGAACATGGCGTACCTCTGTAATTTGACTGGAGTCTCATTAATAAAAGTTTCCCAGTATTTTTACAAGCAACTTCCCTTACTCCAAGGTGTCCAAAACCAGGTTCGAGAAATATCCGCGAACGGATGTTGAAAGAAGCGTTTCTGGTTCAGTCGTTGAACAACAATATGGCAATTGTATGACAGAATTCTACCCTGAACGCAAAGATTCATCACCTGCATTCGTGAATAACGGATTCTTGAGGACAAGGGAGCAGACAGGAAAACTTTTGCAATTCCACTGTAACTTAAAGAAGCCCCTCCCAAATATAGGCCGATGGCAATTTTGCAATGTATACTCAAGGCATCTCAGCGAATCAAAATCGCAGGGGTTGGCAGTTTACCAGAAGATTGCTACAATGCTGAGAAAACGCCTTTACATGAGAAATACATTTCCAACAACCTTAAGCAGACGTTGAACATCACATACAAAGTCTACAGTGAGACAAGATCTACGATGGAAAAACTTACTGGAAGTTGAAAATGCGAACCGAACAACATCTATCTACAATGAGTCTCAGGAGTTTAGCACCTGACCCCTCTGGCACTGTACAACACCTCATTTCAGAGGAATATTCCTTCAGACAGGTGTGCATATCCGTAATCGACGGAGATCAGCCAAGATCCAGTGTCTTTTGATGAAGGAGTCCCTTCATACTTTAGTCTCAATATGTTTCAATGACACATATACTCAGAATCAATCAAGGACGAAAAATAAAACAGACAATAC